TGAGAGCAACATTTCAAAAGCACCTTAAGTTCTGTTTACACTAAAGTTGCATAAGTCTTGAGATACTCAAGCTAGCTGTAGGACAGCCACAGGAGCATGAAGCTCAGTGTTGGCTAGCTGCTAGTTTGCTGCTGGTACCGGTGCCAAGACAGGTCCCGAAGTGTCGGTAGCACCCTTTTGTGGCCATGCTAACCCTGTTCTATTCCAGCTCTCCCTTGCATCCCTTCACAGTCTCAGCTGCTGTACCTTGATAAAAATCCTGGAATTATCTTATTGATGCTGTCCTAACCCTAACCCAACTTACTTAGTCAGACCCTCAGTCTGCTACCAAAGACCTATCTTGAGTTCTGCCAGCAGTTACCAGGTACTACATGTCCTCCCCATGGGCCCTACCTGTGCCTTCGGTTATTAATCATGCTTTTGGAGCAGATGAAGATCATAAATACCACCATTTAGTCATGCCATGCTTGCAGATGTCACTCAATCATTTTTGTTGTTTCCTGGCTCAGTCCATATGTTCTGCTGCTCAGGCTCTTATTTCTTTTCCAAGCTTCAGCCTTTGAGGCCTTGGCCCCTTTTTTCTCATGTGGCTTAGCTTGGCTGTTCTTTCCCTGTTAAAGTGACAGGAGCAGAAGCCCCTGTTACACTACCCATTTACTGCTAATTTGGCATCTCTACACTACACTGCAGTTACTCCTGTGACTGTCACAGATGTAGCTCAAGACTCTTAGGCTAAATACAGACAGTCAAGAAGCCCTGCATAGATTGAACCAATAAGAAAGTGAACATTCCCTTTTTGATTCTGGAAATGCAGCCACATGCCTACAGTGTCCCAGGCCAAAAGTCAAGGGGCACTAGACCACCCCTCTCTGCTCAGCTGGGACCAGGCAGTTTGGGCCAAAGCTAGCCTGCCCACCCACCCTGGGGGGGCAGTATGCAAACCATCCTGGCATGTCTGGGAACTGTGAGAACTTGAATCTGGAGGGGATCTGGGACAGAATTTCAGTAGACTGATTTAACCTAAGTCAGTTAAGTCTGATCCATTCAGGTTTAAGTTAAACTGGTTTCAGCCATTTTGAAAGCGGGTTGTATGTACTGAGCTTCTGTTGTGTTTGAACTGGTTTCCAATAATTTATACTGATTTATGTGTAATTTATGTCCCTAGCCATAAGTAACTTCAGAGACTTTAAAACTAGTGACCTTTTAGTTTGTTTTTGCTTGATCAAGAGCTGTTATACTGAAATCACACAGATGCAAAATCAGGAAGGAAGCACATGGCAAAGGTGGGATCATTAAAGAGATCAGAGAGAGTTAAAGGAAACTGAATATAAAGGGACTACTGATAGCAATAATGAAGATCTCCAGTTTAAAAAAAACAGGGGAAGGAGATAGGAATTATGGTATGCTCTATAAATTAACTGCAAGTAAAGGGTGTCCATGTGTGCACAAAGAGCTTTTCCAACACAAGTGGGAAAGTGAAGCAAGTGTTTCAGGCCAGGTAGAGACATCACACTTGTACCCATAAGTATAGACTGGTTTCCAATTCCAATCACTTAGAACAGAAGTTTGGTACATGCAGGGTGGTTTAAAATGGCAGAACTTGGTCTAAGATTTGTTCCTCCCACAACTCCCCACCCCAAAGGATAAATGTGTACTCCATTTGCTACTGATCTAAACTACTTTGCTTACAACCCCCTCCCCCCCCCAAGACTGTGCAACTTACACTGAGTCTGCCCCTAGTTAGGTACAGACATTCAAGGAGCCTCAGTCCTTAAAGATCTATAGTTTCCCCACACAAAATAGAGCACAAGCATTTACAAAGGATGTTGCAATTTGATTTTTTAAAATTGGATTACAGGGATGAGCAGGGAAGGTAGGAAATTGGTTTTCTTATAGGTCACACCTTAAATAGTGTCCTTAGTTTAACGTGTTTATTTGTGCCTTGCACATTTAGAAAAGTCTTTAGAGACTTCACTAATAAAATCCTAAAAGAATAGGGTTGGAAAGAACATCGGGAGGTCATCCAAGTCCAGCAGTGTCAAATTAATCTGGCCCCTGGGGTGGATGAGGGGTGTAGAGCCAGGGTAGGATTAGAACAGGTACCGGGCATGTGCTGCCTGAGGTGCCCATACTTGCCCACCCCTGCATGCTGGCACTGGTGCACGGGGCCGGTCTGTGCGCCTGATCTGGACTGACCCCAAAGCTAGCGCACAGGGTTGGACCAGCAGAACCTGACATTCCTGATCTAGTCCCAACTGTTGCTTAAGGAAAAACATTCCAGTCCAAACCATCCTGAGCAGATGCCTTTCTAACCTATGCTTAAAGCTTTTCATTGACAGATTTCACAGAGATTCTCTAGGTTCTAGTACTTGACAGTCAGTGCAAAGCACTTCCTAACTTCTAACTAAAAATCTTGCCACGCTTAGACTTATGTGGTCATATTGAATTTCATGTCTGTGCAGAGGGGTAGAACTGGGGCTATTAAGTTCTGCTTAAGCTCTATACAGGAAAGCATGCATAATTTCAATTACAAAGCACAGTGAGGGAAAATAAGGTGACATGCATGTTGTGTTCACATTTTAAACATCTTTCAAGTTTTAATTTAGCAAGCTAAGAGAAATTGGCAAATACCTTGTTTTCTATTTGCACCTGCCTCATGAGTTTGTCAGTGCCCATATGCTTCTAGTTCCAGTTAAGACAAAGTCAGTGTGACAATGATGCTATTTTAGAGTCCTTTGAACTTCTTTTGGTCATAAACACCAATTCATATCACTGCAACTGTCTTAAATAAAAGACAAAAAAAATCTAACTAATAATGCACACACTAGCTTAGATCTTTTTTACACCATCTTGTAAGGAAAAAAAAAGCCAACTCTTTCAACAGCTGGTCTCAAAAATATAAATTAACATTAAAAGATTTAAGCCTGCAAACAACACAACTGAAAGACAAGATATTAAAACTATCGTGTGTAAAAATTTATGTAAGGTTCCTGATTTATTTTGAATTTAAATCCGAAGTGTGTTTGCATTTTCTATGTGGCTGGCTTGGCCTTTGGCTCTGGTTGGCTAGATACCTGCAGCATGGGTTATCATTACCCCCCACCCCAATTCCTTCTTGTTTTGTAACCACTGACAGCTGCCTCAAATAATAAGTTATCTGTGGGCCATATCCTGTCACCTATAGTGGCATATATCCACAGTAATTCCAATGAAGTGGCTTTAGATTTATGCTGGTACAACCAGCCACAGAATATGGCCCTGTATTACTACGTCTATCTATTTGCAAAGACCCATGACCTCAATGGTATTAACAGGTCTGGGGATGGAAAAGACAAATGAGACTGGTCTTAGAACTGTATAACTAACAGGCTAATGTTCTAAACAAGAAATTAACTTGTTTGGTTTAGCTACAGTAGTGGAAACATAACTGGTTTCTTTTCAGTGTTGCCAAACTATTGATCAGACATCTAAGGGCTTTGTTACACTTCTCTTGTGACATGCCATCTTTTAAAATGCTTCCATCTGCACATTAATGAAGGAAAATGGATCCTAAGTGTTCCCCAAGCTTCTCAAGTTTATGCCACTTTGGGTGAAAGTTAACCTTGGGTTGTGCTACCCAGCTCATGTTGCAGTAACAGCAGTCAGTTCCCAAAGACATAAGGCAAGTAGGATGCACCTCCATCAGCTCCTCCACTCCTGCTCTGTGGATGATCCACCCACCCTCCTGAGCTCTGCTGCCGAGGGGGTGATACTGCCTAGTGTGACAAGGGTGACTTCTAGGCCCAGTGTTAGCTCCGACCCACCCCCCGGTCTCCGAGCAAACTGTGCGCCTTGCTTGCCTGCCATGCTTTGTTGTTAAATAATTAAGATGTTAAATAGGCAAGAGGCTGCCCTTCCAATACCCCAGTTGTAACAGGGCACTGTTTACATGCTCCAACCACCCCTTATGTGTCTGATGCCTCACAGATGTCCCCACCAGTGGTTTTCACTGGGTCTTTATACACACACATACGGGGCTCCAAGCCCTTGGCCCCCTCACTGGGGCTATACACCCCTTGGGGCTCAGGTGGCCGAAGCTGTGACTGGCCCTAGGTTCTTACACTCCAATGCTGCCCCCTCACTGGAGCTCCACACCCCATCCCTCACTGGGGCTCCATCAGGGTCTACCAGCCCATCCAGCTCAGGTGACCATAGCTCTGCCTGGCCCTCTACCCTGGGGTATTGCACCCTGTGAAGCTCAGGTGACCGCAGCCATATCTAGCCCCCTCCCAGGGCCTCTGCAACCATAGGACTCAAAGAGCCTGGGGGCTGCTCCACGTCCCTCCCCCAACCTGGACCCTGCCTCAGAAGTCCCATGAGCCTGGGCTCCCTCTATGCAGATCAAACCTACCAGGGATGTGGAGACTGGGGTTATGAGGCACCCCACACTCCAGTGGGAGGCAACTGGCCTGGCATTTCCTGGGGGGTCCCACACCACTAGGAGCCCCACCAGCCCCCCCTCCCTTCCCCTTCCCCAGCAGGGTGCAGTTTCATGTCTTACCCAGGACAAATGAGGCCCCCTCCTTCCTCATAGCCTCACTCTTTACCTCCGAGTGTTACAGGAGCAGCTCAGCCCAATATTGCCTCCCTGGCTGCTCTACCAGACTGCTGTCTTTCTGACCTATGTTTGAAAATGGCCACCACAATCAGCCACCTGGTGGCTGCCTGCTCCATCCCTTAAAGGGATGGAGCACTAAAGCTGCTAAGTTGCACCTAGCAACAGGCAGGGTCCCACCGGTGCTGACTGGAGAGTTCAAGCAGCAGGATCATTGGAACTGGGAGGTGGAAAAGCATGGGGGCTGGGGCTTCCATCCTGGGGTCCGGGGGCAGGGAGCTGCGCTGTTGTGGGGAGCCCCTACTGACCCCCAATCCCAGTCCCCTGACCCAAGCCCAGTCTCTCCCAGAGAGGGCTGCACATTTTACCTGGAGCTGGGTGAAAGCTGGGAAAAAGTTCAACTAACCTTGGTTCCTTAAGGCGATGTGACATTTTTCCATGCTGCTTGGCCAGCTCTCCCCGGCCAGATGACTTGATGGAGATGAGGCTTCCTTCTGCACCAGCTCTGTTCCTGTCCTGGGATAGGGGAAGTGGATGAGGACTATGCTGTAAAGAGGCTGGAAGCCGAAGTACGGAGCCTCTGGGCTTCAGTGTCACAGAACACAGAACCACAGAGGAGCAAGGAAGTGTGCTTCCCTCTGGCTCCATGCTCCTGCCATGCTAAACCCCAGCAGCTCCATGCTCCAGTTTCCCCTGCCAGCACAGAGTCACCGTGGGTGTAGCACAACAGAAGCATGAAGCCACAGGGAAGCATACTTTCCTGCTGCCCCATGCTGCTGTGCCAAGCTCAGGAGGCTCCTGTGCCAGCACAGAGCTGCTGTGGTGGGAGCATGGGGCCTCAGGGAAGCATGCTTGCCTGCTCCCTTGGGTCCAAGCTCCTGCCACACTAGGGTGGCTCTGTGCTGGCAGCAGAGCCAGCAGGATTTGGCATGGGAGGAGCACAGAGAAAGCATGCTTTCCCCTCGCTGTGTGCTTCCATGTGCTAAACCCTGGTGGCTCCGTGCTGGCAGGGGAAACCAAAGTGTGATGCTAGTGGGGTTTAGTGCGGCGAGAGCATAAAGCCGTGTGGAAGCATGCTTCAAGGCTCCTCACAACTCCATGCTTCTGTCATGTTAAACCCCAGCGGCTCCTTGCTTTAGCTTCCAGCTTCTCTGTGACACAGCCTTTTGCTGCACATCCCCACCTCAAATTCAGGACATGAGGTAGGTGCAGAGGAAGCCACAAGACACCTTCAAGCCACCTGGCCAGGGGAAAGCTGGCAGCACTCGGGGGAAATGGAGCCATACAGCATGGGGAAATTTCAATTCGCCTGAGTAACTGCTGTTAACTGAACTTTTCCCTGGCTTTCACCCAGCTCTGGGAGAAATATTGCAATATTGCAAAATATTGGCAAAGGTAAAAGAACGAACTTAAAAATTAATGGAAGTTTCTATAGGGATAACTTGATAATTCATCATTAAAATGAATGGGAGTTTCTACACTGAATAGGGACAGGATTCAGTTCTAAAATAAGCCATCTGCCTACAGTGTTCCATATTTTAGACCTTTTTCATAAGCTCTGAACTGCTTATTGACTAAATGCAATTGTTGACAGGTAGACCTCCAAGGGAAAGTTGAAAGCCGAAGCTCAGAGATGGTATAGCAGATATAGCAGCAGGTGAGTGGGAGCTGGAGGGCTGAGGGATGGAAGGATCAGAGAGGGAGAGAAAAGTCTAATCCAGCTAAAAAAGGATCAGCCATGTACCAGAGCTGGCATGCAGGGGTGGGCAAGTATGGGCATCTCATGAAAGACATGCCCTGTGCCAGTTCTAATCATGATTCCTAATTCAGCTAAAGAGGATCAGCCAGAAGAGGCCATTGGCATTTTTTTTTTTTTTTTTTTTGTAAATCACAGATATACAGGTGTGGGAATGCTCCAGCAAGGCCTTCACTAGTCTAGGACATAGTAGGTTCTTGAAAGGATAAATTAAAGCAGGGTTCTGTGACTGTCCGAGTAAGCCTGTTGCACTGATCCTATGCTTCCTTGGGCTCCCAATACCTTATAGGGATTCTCCAGGGCACTGTAAAAGGTAATTGTAGGATGGTAAGAGAGAAAGGTAATTTTTGATTTTATAGCTCACTGGATCTGGTGTGGTGGTGATTTAATGCCATCCCCTTCTAATCAACTCCCATTGTACTCAATGGAAGCTCTGCTTAAAAAAAAAGTGGTCAGCGATACAATTTATCCACGATCTGATGTAGGTTGTTTTCATGGATGGGTAAGCCTGTGTGCGCCTTAATGCAAGGTAAGGGCCTGAAATTATAAAATATTCCAAAACATTTTTTATATTCTACTGCTATAATATAAATATAATTTATTCAGGGTTCCCTTTTTCAAGCTTTTCATCACACATTAGGCAGGACTAGACTTCTCTCCTCCCTCCCCGCCTTTTTTTTTTTTTTTAAAATGAAAGCTGAAAATCATTCAAAATGAATAGCAGCAGCTGAAGTTATAAAGGAAGAAGCACTTAACATCAGGACCCTCATGATTAAAAGAGGGGTTAACAATACTGCCAAAAAGCCAATCCATTCAAAATATAGTAGAGGTTATCTAGAGTTTAAACCATTTGTTAGAATACTCTGGTATCTTTTCATTAGTGGGGAAGACAGAGAAAGCTGCTGATTCAAGGTTTAAATTTATGCCCTAGGCATAGTAACTGTAGACTAGCATAAGCCCAGGTGATTACAGGAAAAATTGATGTTGTCATCATCTCCTTCTGAATGTTCAGTTTTTGGACAAGACTGAAGATGCAACTGAAATCTTGTCCACTAGGGGGAGGTACCTCCATAACAAGGATATAGTACAAAAACCACCAAGGTAATTTTAGGGAACTAATTCTTCATGCCCATGAATTGATAAGCAATATTCACATGGCACATTACTTGCTCAAAGTAGCAATTCATTTTTTTTTTTTTATGCAGTGCTCATGCATAAAAGTGACATTATGTAACAAATTGAATTTCAAATTAAATGGCAACAGAACACAAACTTATCTTACTATAAAAGTTCTCCGTTTAATTAACGTAACACTTTACTCTTTAATAGGTTCGCAGGAAATTGTTTGATAAAAGAATAAAAGGTTCGATTTGTATTTCTGGCAAAGTTTGTACTGCATTCAGCTCCTTTAAAAATAAAAAAACCCCCCATGAATCCCGTTAACCTTTCATGAAATAAATGTTAAATGGCTTTCAAATAGTTATCATTCCAATTAAAAGTGAGTCACAAAGAAAAAACACCTATTTAATGTTATATCTATATCTGCCCCCACATGCACAGTTTTTAAAATTCTTTTTGTATTCACACACTATCATTAAGGATATTAATGCCAAGGAGAAAAGTACCAAACCCTTGAAGAACATACTTCAAAACTTAACCACATGAGTGGTTGCATAGAATTCAGTAGTGCTACTAAGCCTATGCATAACATCAAGCTTGTCATGCTATTTGCTTTATTGGGGCCCAAATCCTTCGTTCATATAAAATTATAGGAACTCAAGTGTGATAGGACTGAATAGTATATTGGTCACATTTTGCAGATGCACTGGATTTCCAATTTAATTCTTTCAGTAGACTCATGCATAGTTTATGGTTCCTAGTGAATCCTGCAAGCAGCAATAATAGTATGTTGCAGGACTATATGGACTCTTCATTTAAAGCAGGGGTGTCAAGCATACAGCCCACAGATCGAATGTGTCTTGCACATTGTCCACCTCCTGTGCTGGCCCTGGGCCTCAAGTTCACTATCACATGGTCGGCACTAAACTAGCCCTGCATGCAGGGCCCAGGATATATGCTGCATCTGGAGCCTGCTCTGGGACTTGCACTGCATGCAGCACCTGCATGGGGCCAGTCCAAGACCCTCCCTCTCATTCTGAATCCAGTGCCTGTAGTGCCCACTCTGGTTGGTCTGGACTGTGCTGCACTCTGTGTTGGCTTCACCCAGTCTAAGTTGGGTGCCATGTGCAGTGCAGGTCCTGGAGTGTGCACTGCAGTCTCAGATCAGCTAGAGCGGGTGCTGGATCTGGTATGTGGAGGGCAGGAGTGGGGAGGCATGGGTTCCCTGCATGTCAGATCCCAGTACCTGCTCTGGCTGAGGCCTAGAGTGTGCTGCACATGGTCCCCACTCCAGCTGGTCCATGACCTACACTGCATGAGGTGCTCGACTCAGGCCAGCTGAAGCAGGTGCTCAATTTGATACCTGGGGGTGGAGGGAAGGGGTCCATGGGCCTGATTTGGCCCATGCGGTGTGTCCCATGCCATTCATCTGACTCATGGAATAATCTCATGCCATTCATCTGGCCTACAGGACCAGATGATTTTGACTCCACTGATCTAAACTACATATTAGTTCATTACTTATGTAAATGTATATTTGTAATATACATCAATTTGTGTATTAAAAAGAACACCTGCAGCTACTGTTTATTCAAAGCAAACAATACAGGTTTTGATTTCATATTTCACTTCCTTTCTCCAGTTTTCCAAAGTGATGACCCCAATGTAGTTTCAAAACTTAATAAGAAACTTAAGTATAAAAAAAACTTAGCTCTTTGGTATTTTGAAGAGCTGTATTTAAGGAGAAACAACCTTATATCATATGCTCTCTTGTTTCTGTTAACAACCGTAATACTGTTTTCCATTTGCATTAGAGCTTGATGCCTATATTTCATCTAATCATGTGCTGATCCTTCTGAAATGCTGAAGGCTTACATTTCTCAGATACAATTTGAACCTCTAAAGTTGTTCTATTGGTTATTTTTTGTCAGTCAATACTCCAATATGAAAAGCTGATTCCTCTGCCATTTCATAACATTGCATTATTTATCAGTTTGGGGCCAATATTTCCTCCATGTAGAATACTTTGTAAAGGGTAGAGAAAACCTGGCAAATTTAATTGAAGTTTCCAAGGAATGCTTCCTCTGAAGGGCGCAGGCTGTCACCTGCAGGAGAAACCAAGGACACTGTTTCCTAATCTCCATTTCCTTTAAGTTCTAGTTACATTTCATACAGGGGCCACCAAGCTGTGGCCCATGGGCTGCATCCAGTCCATGGTTCAGAAAGGGCTTTGCCTACATGGCAGTTGGGAGCGGTGACTAGAGCAGTGCTGACAATGACATAGGCAAATCTGGAAGTGCTCCATAGTCAGAGCTAAGCTTTGTTAAACTGTTGCCTCTTGTACTGCAAAACCCGTCATGTAAGGCATAGGAAGCAAGCAATACAAAGCCCCTTGTATTTGCTGTTTCATTGTCTTAATACAGTGATTCTCAGCCAGGGAACCAGGGCACCCTGGGGTGTCATGACAGCATTGGAAGGGTGCCACTGGGAAAAAGGTGATAAATGCGATAAGCACAGGCCCCAGTGAGGAGACGAGTGCAAGCTCTTCCTTTTCAGGTGCTCCTCCTCCTTGTGTTCACTGTAATGCAGACTCTTCCCTGCCAGCTGCTCCTTCTCAGCCCTTCTTCAAGCACCATACTAA